AATTATTAAAAAAGGATAAACTGTGGTTCACACGTTTCCTGATTTTAAACCATTAGTCCCCTTGTTCTGTTCAAGTAACATCTATGCACAGGTTTGTCATGAGCACAATTAAGTGTTCTGGAATACTCATTTTCCACAATGCTGCCCATAGCCTGTCATGATCCACATAGTTGAAAGACTTCACATAGTCAAGAAAGCAAAGATGTTTCTGTGCTTTCAGCCAAGATCCATCTGATGTCAGCAATATCCTTTGTTCCATGCCTTCATCTGAATTGGCTTGAATTTTCAGCAGTTTCCTGTTAATGTACTGTTGCAACTGTTGTTAAATAATCTTCAACAAAATTTTACTTGAAGGTATACTAATTCAATGATTTTTACATTTCGTTGGGTCACCTCTCTTTGTAATGATGTATGGATTTTTTCCAATTGTCTGGCCAGGTAACTGTCTTCCAAATTTCTTGTTATAAATGAGTGAGTGCTTCCCATGTTGTATCAATTTGTTCAAAGATCTCAATTTGTATTCCTTCAATTACTGGAGTCTTGTTTTTCACTCATATCTTCAAAGCTGATTGGATACTACCTCTTGAAATGTTTGAACATCTACCATTTCTTTTTGATACAGTGATTCTCTATATTCCTTCCATCTGTTTTTGAGTTTTTTTCTGCAGCATTCAGTATTGTGGCCATAGAATCTCTCAATATTGCAAGTCGAACACTGATTTTTTTCTTCAGTTCTGAGAGCTGAGAGCTTAAGAAATACTGAGCATGTTCTTCACTTCTGCTTTTCTAACTCCAGATCTTTGCACATTTCATTGTAATATCTGACTTTGTCTTCTCAAGGTGCCCTTTGAAAATTTCTGTTCAGCTTCCTCATTTATTCCAGTTGCTTCAGCTTCTCTATGCTCTTCTGGTGTCCATTTTGGTCTTTTTGTCTTTCCTATCTTTTAAATGACCTTTTGCTTTCTTCCTATAGGATGTTCATGATGTCAGCTCAAAACTCTGCTGGTTTTCGTACATTAGTGTATAATGAAGAAAATTTGTTTTGGTCTGTAGATTCAAGTGGGATATATTCAGGTTCATATTTTGGCTCTTGTAAACTTGTTTTAGTCTTCTTCACCTCAGCTGGAACCTGCATATAAGCAATTAAGAGAGTGTTCCACAGTCTGCCCCTGTCCTTGTGTTGGCTGATGATATTGAGTTTTCCTACTGTCTCTTTCCTCATATGTAGTCAATTTGATTCCTGTGTATTGCATCTGGTGAGGTCCATGTCCTTTGTATGTTGTTTTAAAAAGGTATTTGCAAGGAATAAATCATTGGCCTTACAAAATTCTATCATGCAATCTCCAGTATCATTTCTATCATCAAGACCATATTTTCCAACCCTTTGTTTCCAACCTTTGCATTGTAATCACCAGTAATTATCAGTGCATTTTGATTGTATGTTTGATCAATTTCCAACTGAACAAGTTGGTGATGGTGGTGGTAGTGTGCCATGGAGTTGGTTACAACTCATAGGGACCCT